TTCTGTATAACTATAATTAGCCTCGTTGATCCGACAAAGTGTTACGATCATATTGATCACCCAACAAGCTTGTTCATCTTTGGAGATTCACTTTTTGATTCCGGAAACAATAACTACATCAACACTACTGCTCGGGCTAATTTTTATCCATATGGTGAAACCTTCTTTAAGCACCCAACTGGCAGATTTTCCGATGGTCGACTCATCCCAGATTTTTTCGGTAAGATTAATTTAATTACTTTTAAGTATCCCTATATTATCACACCATTATTAATTAAGGTCTTACTTTTTTATAAATCTTTTATTAATATTGCAGCTGAATATGCGAAGTTGCCATTCATTCTACCGTATTTACAACCTGGAAATCATGAATATAGTTATGGGGTGAACTTTGCTTCTGCTGGAGCTGGTGCTCTGGTCGAAACTTACAGAGGATATGTATGTAATATAGTTTTGTGTGAAAATAATCGCACTAAAGTTGTGATTATGCAGAAATAATGACTTGAATATCTTATGATTAGATTTTCACGGTTGGTATGAGAAAAATACCTTACTCTTTAAGTTTTTTGTTTTAAAACGTCAAATATACATTAGAATTTGTCATTTTTGCATATTTTAATGTGAGTTAAGAAACACATTTAATGATATACCGTAAAGAGCTTCACCTTATGACGGTGAAACATATTTTTTTTTTGTTTTTTTATATTTATTTCAGGTGATAGACCTTAAAACTCAACTTGGATATTTCAAGAATGTTAACCGAGTGCTGAGGAAGAAACTTGGGGATAAGAAGGCCGAAGCTCTGATTTCAAAAGCTGTTTACTCATTTAGTATTGGAAACAATGATTACTCGGTAGCTGCTTATGAACAGACAAACTCTACCGTCCTTCCCTACTCTGACCAACAGTTGGTTGGACTGGTGATTGGCAATATAACTGAAGTGATTCAGGTACCATCATCTTATTCTTTTCCCAATTTAAATCACAAATTAAATTTTAGTGTTATAGTGTTATAAAAAGTTTAAATTCAATTGATTCATTATAGTGTTTTTCTCTCATATATATAACTTAAAATTTTAATTTAAGTTGCGAAATAAACATACAATGTATCTTTATTTATATGAGATTTTTGTGACAAGTTTCAAAAAAATAATAGAGATATATGGGTTTTAACTGTTAGATCTTCATCAAATTTTCTATTGTCATATTTTATTTGATGTGATGTGATTCTAATTTGACTTAATGGTTAAAAGTTGTACATGATTTAAATTGACAGTCAAAAATTATGTACTGCGTATATTATTTTTTAATCCCTATCTTAGAATTCTTCTTTCGTATTAATCTCAAGCATCATATGGTGTGAGGTGTTTCTTAGGTCCCGTTCACTTCGCTGATTCGAGTTTTTCTACAGTAAAAAGCTCTCACA